GGGTAATATCTCCTCTTTGACATTTGCCCTCTGCATTTCTGACCTTATCCACCTCGCTGCGGTTCTCTGCCGTAGGCCCTGTAGTTCTGTCTGATGTCCGCTCACGCAAACACCACTGCACTCCGCACACACAAGCACGCACACATACAGATTTGCTGCAATTAGAGTCATATGGTGTAAGCTTACTGACTCCCACGATTCTAACCAATAAGGTCATTTTGCAGATGAAGAAAACAAATACTTCCATTTCTGCAAGTTGCCCATTTTTCGAATGTACTCTGCAACCCTGTCTTTTCCTTGAACCAAACAGTAAATTGAGTCTGTTTTATACTGTTGTATTCACAGTGTCCTCATCTGTTTCTATCTGAATAGCCATTCATAGCTCTTCAGAACCCTAGCCTTTTATTTCCTATTTGTATGAGAAATGAAACAGGTTTATGCAAAAGTCATGAATGTTGTTTTAGATGATGGACTAGAGCTAGTGTTTATAAAGATTATTTCTAAAACATATTTGTGGTCCTCATTCTGCAAAATCTTTTACACATTTGGCTGCTGTTTGCCTACAAAGATGTTTGTTTGTCTTGGCTACATAATTGAATACCATTAATGTAGCAAGTACTGCCTCATAGCCAAGAAGTGGTTTGATCTTTGTTTAAAGTGTGTCAGCTTTTTAGCCCTATTAGTAGTTTGTTCTTCTTTGGGGTGTGTGCAAAGCACTAGGGAGACAGCACTTTAAAAGGTCACTAATGCACTCAGCCTGCTGAAGGGGAAAAAGGCATGTTGGATGTTTGTTTGTGCTTTTTTATCTCTCTTTACAGTGAGTTCTCTGGAGATGCGGCACTACAACATGTGAGGATAACATGGTGTTTTCAGTGTGAGGGAGGAGGAGATGGAGAAAGTGAAAACATTTACCGCATTGCATCCTGTCTGTTTCTGCCTGCAGCATGCAAGGGCCAACAAAGGCCTTGATTAGACATTTACGAAGAACTAAAGTACGAGGGGAATAGAGCGCGAGACAGCAGTTGTGGCGAGTTAAAGTCAGAAAATGTAATGAGGGTCAGGGGCGTCTGAAGTTCTGTGAGTCAACTTTCATTGTGTTGTGGCCAGGAATATGTTGTTGCAGTGTTAAACAAGTGTATACAAGGCAGTGGAGCGTCAAGGTGGGGTCACCATGTCTCACAGTCTGAGTGCTGGCCTGCAGATAAGAGCCTGGGCGACTCAGCTCAGCCGGCTCCCGCGGCACAGGGAGTGACTGCAGAGTACACCTGGCCTGGCAGCTTCAGACCATCCAGGGACAACTGGGAAAGGCTTCCTCCTCGGCCCCAACCCAAACTGACAAAGGAAATCATGCGCGGTGGTAGGATCAAACAGAGCAAGGTTGACAGTGTTAATGTGTGACTGCGCTATCATGCAAAGGTTTCCGTGTGTATGTTTATGCTTGTGTGTGTGTGTGTGTGTGTGTGTGTGTGTGTGTGTGTGTGTGTGTGTGTGTGCGCGCGTGCGTATAGTAGATGCTCTGGGGCGGCAGGAGGAGGCCTACTGGTCTACTAACAGCTGTCTGCTTTCCTAACCTTTGTGTTTGTCATACTATGTTAAACGCAGGGCACAGTAAAGAGAAAAGGAAATAGGTGAAAGAAATAAAATAAGAGAAAAAGGTCAGGCTTGAACATAGAAAGACAATGATAGTGCTAGAGTGCATGCAGGTCAGAATTTTCAGTCACTGTAGATTGAAACCTTTTGTAAACCTCAACTGGCTGCCAAAGTTGTCTTGAGCAAAGCCCCTTCTGTCCACAGGGTGCTGCTGTGAAACCCTGATGTTAAGATGATTAATAATATGAAATATAACCATTAAGATCCCATTGATTAACAACTTAGTTTACTTAGCATAACAAATGAGAGACCTGCCTTTTGGCCTTCACTCAACTTCACTGTGAGTGAACTATTCTTGAAATTTGCAGCAGAATACAAAACATGACCAGACATGAGGTCCGTCAAAATATAAAATATATAAAGATTATGTTTTGTTGTCTGCAGGGGGCGGGGCTTGTAGAACAGCATCCCATTAGCAGCATGAGGCAGCTGGGCCCAGTTTCTCTCATGACGATGTACAGGTGATACAACTGAGAAGTCACCTTGCTCCTTTCTCGAGTGGCAAATAAGCAAACATTCAAAGTCTGCCAGGTGTGTTCACAGGAAAAACAATGAAAACACTGCTAAAATGTTGAGGAGCAACTGACTGCGCAGATTTGGAAAGACTTTAGGCAAAAGGTTTGATAGACTGCCACAGCAAATGGATCACCCCAAACTTAGTGTTACAATTCTGTCCTTCCATTGCAGAAATTTGTCAGGTATGCTATGAATAAAATATTCTTTTTGGAATACTCCGCCCTTTGTCTTGCAACTGTTCTCTGACTTTTTAGTGTGCAACTTCTGTCTGGAAAGTTTTTTCTGCCTACACTTCAACATCGACCGCTGACTGTCTTGCACGTCATCTGGATCATTATCAATTCTGGTGGCTTTTATCTTTTTCTAAATTAAGTTGTGTTTTTTTCCCCTCGTTGCATCCATCGTGAGTTTATTATGTCACACAGTGGTGGCACTGCATGAAAAAGTAACGTCAACCCATAACTTAACTTTGTGTAAGACCGTGTCAGCATTCAGTCCAGTGGATAATCTCCTCACTGCACACACTCCGGTTTCTTGTTATTTTTGGCACTGCTAAGACCACAGCACATTCTCACATATGCACACACAGTGTATATTTCATGTATTGTGCAAAGTATATTTCTATGCGGAATACGTAGAGTCTCTCTATTTTTCCGTCACTCTCTAACCCACTGATTTTACAGATTTGAGCCAAACAGCTTTATTATTCTTTATTCTAAGAGCCGAGCATTGACAGGGCAAGACCCACTGTTTCCATGTTGCTCCCTTCTGCAAAGTAGATCCTTTTTTGTTAAAAGAAGAAACAGAAGATCAATTTTGCTTTTTGCTCCTTTAGTTCTTTCACCATCTGTGTTTGCAAGAAGCTCTGACATCTTCAAGTCAATTTGTGTTGAAGAGCAGAAACTTCCCACTTTGTGCCAGTTTCTGTAAACCAGGATATTTTAAACAAAATCTGACCTGGTGTCAAACACTAAAACGCAGCTGGTAAATGCTTCCTGTCAGTGATGGTCCTCTTTTTAGTAATTTTGTCTTCAAAATTAATGTGGAAACGATTTACAAACCATTAAACAAGGCTCGAACATTCTCATTCCCACCAGTGTGATTAGATAGTTTTTTACTGGAGGGAAATGGAGAGAATCATACAGAGAGGGGTGACTGGCTCCCTTAACGGCAAAGTAGTGCAGACCAACGTAGCAGCCAATGTCACATCCCATTCCTGCCAGGTCTGAGGAATGTCCACTCCTTGACACTTGTCCAATCCAAGCTACCTCAAGCTTTCTCCTCCAGCTTCACGCCAGCTAATCTCTCCTGACACCTCACACAGCTGCGACAGGGAATCACTCTACCCTGAAAACAATCCAGCCCTCCTCCCTCTCCACCCCAAATCTGTACCGGTCCCCCTATCCTTCTGTCTGTCTTCCTTATATTTCTCTTTACCCTCTCCCTCCCTATCTATCCCTTCCCCATTACTTCTCTCTGTGGCCTACTCTTTCTCTCGTGTCTCCATCTGTCTTTGTCAAACCATATACTGCTCCTCTTCTATCTCGCTCAATCTTTCCTCCCCCTGTCTTTTCTTCTCCATTCTCACTTCCTCGCTGGGTATATCATGCCTCTGTTGATGAGAATCTGCGAAAAGATGCTGTGATTGCCGATTGAGGAATAGCCTGCATTTCCTTAAGGAGTCATCAGCATTCAAGAACTGCATTTTACTCCACTGGTGGATGTTGCTAAAGTTGGAGGGTCTTTATCTCGCAGCGCACCTTTACAGATGGAGAGAAGCTCACAGGATCACTTCAGGATGGGACAGAGGAAGCATAAACACAGACATCTTTCCCTCGACACCCATCACCCTAAATATACTTTAATTTTTGGAGAGAAAAGAGAGATGAGGGACTTGCTGATAGGATCTTTTTTTAATGTTTGCACTGACAGGCCATTGTTGAAATTCTTAGTTTAAACAGAACAAGAAACACACATTTCCAGTCATGTTTGCACTGCGGTAAGTTAGTCTCACAGAGCAAATGAGATCCTTTACAGATCATTTTCCCTAATTAGCGTATTTGGGATACAAGAATTCTCATGAGACAAGTCACTCAAAAAATCCCATTTATTATTTAAATGTATTCAACATTTCCAAAAGATAAGATAGACAAACATGTCATAGATTTAATTTACAAGCTGTTTGTTCTTCTCATCATATCTATAGAGGCTCCCCACCCTACAGAGCACAATCTCATTGGCTGCTGAGTAAAATATCTGTCATTGGCTGTAGCACAGAATAACTCTGTAAAAGAACGATGTAGCTATGGCACGGCACATGCTAAAATGCAGACACTCACTGGTGTGCACAGACACATACATACTCGCACGTACAAACACGCACACACACACAAACGTGCAGTCATAATAGACCAAGTCACTCACCCAATCAATTTCATTTTCAAGCAAGCTGTCAGGCCGCCATGTTGAGTAAATATTACCATAATGCCTGTGTGTCAGTGAATATGCAGCTAATGAATGGATGACATCCAGTGACGCTCAGAGACACTGAAACAGAAAAATTGCCCACTCACAGTTACTGTGCCTGAACCCTCCCCTCTACCTCCCTACCATCTTGCTCACTTCTTACTCTTTCACTCTCCGTCTTTGTGACTTTCTTTCCCTCGCCCTCTTCTTCAGATGCCGCGCAGAAGGCTAAGAGGTCGGCACAGCAAAGAAGAAGAAAGAGCGGGCGCACTCTTCAACTAGGTTACCTCTGGATCTGAAGATTTCGCTTCAACACATGACTGGTTGTGTCGAGTAGATCGAGCATCTACATAAAACTAGAACAGAGACAATTTGAACTCTACTTTTAATCCAAACAGCAGCAGGACATTGTGTGTGTGCGGAACAGCGTGAGGTGCTTTGTGGAAAGGGTATTGTCTATATGAGATGTTTCCTTTTTCAGATACATTGGAAGGTACAGTGCAGAATGTATAATTCTCCACATGAACAATATATAGTTACCTTGCTGTACCCAGTGATGAAGAAAAACACCCACTGCCATTAAATACTGACGGTCTTGATTTAAAGAATTATTTTCCAGCTGTTAGATCTCTGAGCTGCATCACAAATAACATCTCACATATCCGTTCTCTCAGTCAAACAGAATATTTTCACAAGGGACAAATATATACTTTTTTTAAATCTCATTTGTGTAGAGTATTATGCATGTCTACAAAATTAAAACACAATCTAAGGAAAATTGCATGGAACAACACTACGAGTTTCAGTCAATTGAGTCCACTGACAGTACAGGTGACTGTTGCCGCTGTGGAGAGAGGAGGTGAGATCATCCACTTTTGCAGGGTTTTCATTGTTCTTGATACTTCTGTGCAATGGAGCAGGTCTGAAGAGGAGAGACACTGAAAGCGAGGAGCTTCTGACACGTCGGCATCCTGACGAGGAGTGCAGAAAAACCAGCCCACCTCCACCCTACATCCCACTCCTCCCATGCCTCCCGCCCGGCCCCTCTCAGTGTGTCCTCAGGAGCTTTGCATCCAGGCTCTGCTACACAGCCTGGATGTCTGTTTGCTGATGGATATGAAGCAGAGGTGTCCGTGATGATGGAGAGAATTAGGAAAACTAGAAAGCATTCCAGCTTTTAACACACACACACACACACACCACCCCCCTGGTGTACAACTCTTTCTCTCAATCTCTTTCTGTCTGACTGTCTTTGTGTCTGTCTGTTCTCAGTCTGCGTAGAGGATGAAGCCAGAGAAGGTGCTGTACTTGTTGTTGTTGCCTCCATGGGCTTTGCCTCCATCCAGTTTGATGTATACCTCGTCCCCTGCGTCCAGATGGAGGATGACGCTGTTGGAGGCGTAGTCATAGTTCTGGTCAGCGTCTTGGGCAATGGCGCTGGCACGAACCTGGAAGAACAGGGACAGACAAACATGTAGGCGAACGGGCAGGGTGGTTAGCTACAGAATATGTTAGGACAGCAGCTTAATTCATACAAGAAATTCCCCAAATAGGTTGTCATTCTCTCATACTACTTCAGATACTGTATTAACTGTTGCCAGTCTCCATTACTGTAAATAAAAGTATTTAGAGCTTGACAACAACATCAAGGCTGCACAATCCGTACATTCTGTTACATATAAAGGTAACAAATTGTTACATATATGACCCACAGTTTTTTATGAGAAAATAGGGCATTTTTGAATATGTTCACTATCTTATAATGATAAGAAAAAATCCTTTAAAAAAAACCTGGAGCCATGCTGGGAATCTAATCTCTTTTTTATTGATGTGTATTAATAAGGATTTGAGATATTCTGCTTATTAAGTAGTGAACAAACAAATGAGACAAAAGACCAAAAGGTGTCACTGAAAAATACTGTGCTGCTACAACACAAGAGAACAACAAGAGACAAACTAAGTTTGTTGCACAGAAGGAGAATGTATCAGGAATACCAAAATGAAACTCCTAAAATACTAAATCTCACAAAGTTTTTCATTTTGAAGTTAAATGAATTACTGGACACAACAATGGCACAAATAGTTCTTCATATTGATATTAAACCTACAGGACCAACCAGAGGGTCAGTCACCTCAGGCCTTTCTGTCAAACAGATTTATGGTTTCAATCAAGCCAGTAGTCATCCACAGAAGACCTAACATTCAACCTTGAAACAAAAGGTCCACAAAAAGAGAAAGTCTCGGAAACACTCAGCAACAGGGCAGGCTCTGGGGGCTACTTATTGTGGAGGAAATGCAATAAAACATCGAGGACGCCCACTGAATATGTGCAGAAGTATTTGATAACTAATGGCGAGAAATGACAAAAATCATTGGAATGAGTTTGCATGATTTACAAGATTTTTCTTTTATACCATGCAAACTCATTCCAGGAATTTTTATCTATGTTTGTCTTTGTCTGATTGTGTGTATAGGTGTGTGTGTGTGTGTGTGTGTGTGTGTGTGTGTGTGTGTGTGTGTGTGTGTGTGTGTGTGTGTGCTATATTCTGCCAGTCTGGCTATAGGACATTTGGAACAGTTTCTAAATAACCTGTCCTGGCTAATTAAGACCTCCACCACAAACATGCTCAGTCTCTCCGGGGAGGAAAGTGTAGCTGCAGTGCCAATTGGGCACTGAAACAATAGCTGTGTTTTCAAGCATGAGTGTGTGTGTGTGTGTGTGTGTGTGTGTGTGTGTGTGTGTGTGTGTGTGTGTGTGTGTGTGTGTGTGAGAGAGACACTAATTGTACATCTTATCAGTTGAAAGAAATTACTACTACAAAATGCTCTATCTAAAGTTGTAATTTTTAAGACGGGTAACTGTTTGTACAGTAAGCTTTTCTTTGCCAAATACAGTACGAATAAAATCTATGTGCAGTGAAATAGAAAGTTAGGAGAAATCAGCAGTGACATACAATGAAGGTCATAGACTGGATGTTGCCAGCATACAGTGTGTGCTTTTGTCTGATGAGCCAACAGGCCTAATTAAATATGATCTGCCACAACAGTCACAAAAGTATTCTATACAGTGCAGTCTGTAAGTATGTGGACAATGACACATGGTATTTAGCAGCAGAACCAGATATGTCCTCTTTTAGAATATTCTGTTTTGACATTCTCCTTGTCAAAACCTGATGCCTACATTACCCACAATGCAATTCACCCACCAATAGTTTGGTTGGAGATTTGGGTGTGTATAAAAGTGGCTAATGTAGCTTCGAGCGACAGGGCTTAAGCAGAGATAAGGAGCAGGCTACACGGGTCAGGTAAGCTCACTTTTGCGCAGCTAGCTCCACAGAAGGCTTTTTACATATTTTTTCACCTGCAGTAGTAATATCCAAGACATGTAAATCAACGTTGATGTGTAAAATTGAGCTTACAGCTGTAACAAGGGTAACATTTAGGAGGATCTATTGGCAGAAATGGAACAATAATAATATTAACTAATATTCATAGGTATGTTCTCAATAGTGTATAATCACTTTTCTATGTAGGCTGCCATGTTTCTACAGTAACCCAGAATGGACAAACACTGGCTCTAGATAGGGCCTTTTGTGTTTTTATGGCCACCGTAGTTTCTCCTACACATTTGGAAGGCTGAGCTGTATTCAGATGGTTGCAATCTACAACTTCACCGCTAGATGCCACTGACTCCTACACACCTTTAAGACCATGCTTTAGGATAATGACCCTGAACATACAGACAACCAAGGAGGTTTTACAGCCAGTGTTCTTTATTGGCCAAGTCATTCACTTGCTCTAACTCCAACTTCATCATCAGTTGTCAGACAAAGGCAAAAAGACCCCAAAACAAGCAAGAAGTGAATCTAGCTGCAGTAGAGTTATAGCAGAACATCACCAGGTCTGTGGGTCTGTGAATCATATAAAGTGCAGATAGTAATGGACTGTAAAGGGCTCAGAGTTGAACATTGTCCTCATTTACTCAACTTCACCTAAAATCAACTATAAAAAGGGATATAATTCCTCAGCTGTTTGCCCAATATGGATGCTAAATTATAAACTGAAAGTCTGTGCTTTAATCTAATACGTATAGTTTCATTTGAAGTCCAGTGTGCTAGACAATAAAAACGTGCCACTCTCCAAATGCTTAGTCTGTACTGTATCTCAGTGCTTTTAAATGGTTACTAACAAGGTGTCAGTCGTAACTTAAATAGAACAGAATCGAACAAAAAAGTCATTATTTTCCCTTGAGATGAAAAAGGAAAGTACTGTACATCCTTTAAAGTAGACGCTGGTTAAATAAGCCAATTAGTCACTTAGTCTGGTCAGTGAGGTTGAATCAAAATCAATATTTTACGTGCATTTGAAGTGTATTCTTGTGGCTCATTATCGGGTCTCCAAAGTGCACCCTGGCCCTTGCCTTGGCTTGGTGTTTGTCCACACATCTTTAAATCGGGGCTTTTCGAGCGGGTGTCGACAAGCTGGCCCAACAGGCGGCAAAGAGGATGCCCAATAATTAGTTGGCCTATTTAAGGAGTACACACAACAGGCATATTGACAAATGTGAGGAGAGGCCAGCTACTGACAGAGATCTCCTGCACAGAGAGCATCACTGTCGCCAAACCTAACTGGGAGCCTGGAACAGATTCTCTTGACATTTAGATATATTAAAACTATAAATTATTTTAAAATCAAATTTTTTTTAATATAATTTAAATTCATGATTTAAAGATTTATTTAACAAATCCAGTGTTTAATTGTATTTTTGATTGTTTGGGTTTTTTTTTCTCCATTTTGGTGCCTATTATTGTAGTGTTTCTACTCTCCTCAGTCAGTCACCGTGTTTAGTGCTGTGTCTTTTTCTATGGATTCTGTTCATGAAGCAACATTTTATTAAGGATGTTAAAATTCCTCTTATTGTCTTTTCTGCTACAATAGATATTGCTGATAATGCTAAACACTCAGCTCATGCTCTGCTGGAAACATTAAAGTGTGCAGAGGATGTGCAGAGGCGTGCTAAGTATTATTAAAATAGCTTGGATATTTTGTTGTTGGAATCACTGATACGGTACATGATAAGGTAAAGAAACATATTCAGCAAATTATTCCTTAAATGTGTATGTTTTTAAGCAGTAAATGGTAATTAAAAGCCTGTCATGGAAATGAGAACATTCCTTAAAAAAAACATATATTGTCTTAATTGCTTTTCAGTCAGACCCACACTAGAGGCCAGAGTGAGTATTTCCTGCATCACTACTATAAAAAGAATTTAAGTGGTAAGGTGCCATATCTGTTACACTTTATTTTTAACCTGGCCAAACCAAGCTGCATGCTACACTATGTTGGTAACATTGCATTACAAAACATTTCTTGACAACACATCTTAGGTGAGACATTTCTGCTAATATCCCTCAGCAATCAACATTGCACATGCTGCCACAGTGTTTCCCTGTGTCACTTGGTGAGAAGAACAATTATACTGTTTATTTATTTATTTATTTTACCGTTATTAACACTAATTTTCTATGATTCAATGTCATATACAGAAGGCCAGCCAGAACTGCAAAACATTTCTCAAAATGTTCACCATAATGAAATAAAACATTTAATTACTTGCTGTTTACTGCACTTTATTTTGTGAACAGGCCAATATTCTGCTGGATTTTTTATTAGTTCCTCTTAACTCATGAGAGACCTGGCACAGTTCTCTGAATGATTTTCAAAAAGAGAGAGCTCTTTACTTTGCCTTGCCTTGCCACATCGAATTGTGTAGCAGAAAGGAGCAAGGTTGACACTTCTTCAGCCTTCTTAACCAGAGTATTGTTAATGATTTAAAAAAAATCTTGTTTTTGTAATGGAGGGTAAAATGAATAAGAAAATGGAAAAAGACAAACTTACTATATCATCCAAATCTCCAAAAGCGGAAGGTTCAGAGGGTGTCTCAAACTTTTGAACAACTTACCACAGACAGTGAAAGTCACGTTGGTGTGAAATGTGCGGGTGCTATAAAGCCTAATCTGGATAATGAAATTCTGAGGAGAGGTTTTAAGATGCAGGAGTAATATATGGAATATTGTACATTTTTTTATTGTTTATCCTCTTGATTAAATCTAGCACAGCTCATATCAATGTGCAAACAAAGCCTCCTGTTCTGATTCTCAGATGCTGGCGTCCAGTGCATATTAATATGATATGATGTGCCCTGAGTGTGCAAAGTCAACACCATCCTATTAGAGGGTTAGCGCTTTGGGTTGGTGGGGGAGCGGGTGATGATGGCTCAGGAGGATTTGTCAGTTGGGATTTTAATGAAACTTTATCAAAATATTTGCCTTCCAGGTGTTCACACAGAACCTGGGAACCTCAGGCAATGTCAAAGATGTGTAATATAGCTTAAATTATTCTCTTAATTTGCTCTTTAAGGAAGCTAAATTTAAAACGTCTTCAAGTG